TCTGAATGGTGGTGTCTCTGATGGCAGCATAGGAGGAACATCAGTTTCTTCGAAGGCCTTTATACACTTTACTGGCAGGTGCCAATAAACATAAAACGTAGGTGAATGGCTTCCTACAGACAACTTCCGTTTGTACAAATAAATGTCAAGAAATTTGTGATAATTCTTTCTTACTACTTTTAAGCAAAAAGTATTAAGTTTCATAAAATAACATTTTCTACCACATTAGATCAATTTCATAGTGAAGCATGATGTTTCGAGTATAAATTATTGCTTATAACCATATCATTTCGATTATCAATGTGATTATGAGCAATAATTTATACTCGAGACATCATCTAGTTGTCAATACTGCATCACTGTATGATATTTAAAATAAACTTATCTAGTATGGAATTACATTCTACCAAAGTGTCCAAGTTTTACACTTATATTTCCTACCAGACTTTGGCAGTTCATTTCTAACTAAAATAAGCTAACTGTTGCTGTTATGATCAAAGGGAATTATTTGCCTTGCAAAAGAAAAGAATGTACGAAAGCTTATGAACTTCACTGGGTAGCATATTTCGCCTGAAGTCTACCTCCATACTGTACATTAAATTCTGTTTCCGTGTCACAAGATCACCTGACAGTAAATACTGGGTGCACGATACGAGATGTATCAACAGTCTGGAAGAAAATATATGCAAAATTAAGGGGCGGTGAAGTATACAAGTAATCTAAATGCTTTTATTCCTTCTTAAGGCCTTGATGAATACTACTACTAATATTATTATTATGTTTAGAAGCAAACTGGTAGGTGAAAAATTATGATTTCTTTATCTAAATTCTTCCCATGCTTTACTCTGTTTAAAACATAATTTTTTATAGAAATGCGAAATGCTGACCGGAAATAGTGGGTCAGTAATAGGCCAGTGGCAAGGATGCAGTGATAATGATTATTATAATATTATATTATTATTTCCTTTAGTTCCTAGAGGAATACAGGGCTTCAGCCGCTCGTCTCCATTGCGTTCGCTTCTCTGCCAACGTTTCCACCTGTCTTCACGTCTGCCCACATGCTTTCATCTCCTCTTCACATGACCTCTTCGATGTCATCCCACGACCAACTCGCCGCTTCCCATTCGGGTTCCACTTGAGAAATTGTCCGGCGTGTGACGTCACCTGATGGTTTGCTTTCTCAGACTACGGCCACCAATTCACCTCCATTTCTTCCTGCATATTTGTCGCACAAGGGGTTCCTGCTTGGTTCACCCCCAGAGATCCATCCCTGTCGCTAATCTTTTCTGTCCGGCCATCTGACCTTGAGTATTAAACGAAGACAGTTGTTGATGACTTTCTCTAGTTTGCTCAAAGTGTCCTTCGTGACGCAACGCCAAGTGTCTAATCTGCATAGCAAGTAGCACTGACTTCATGCTGGAGTTGAAAATCCGCATCTCGTTTTTTATGCTGGGTGCTGTTAATCTCCACACAGACTTGAGAGTAATGAAAGCTTGCCTTGCTTTCCCAATCCTCACTTTGATATCCTCGTCAGTTCCGTCCGCCTGCATTTGAAACTATGATTCCCAGGTGTGTACGTAGGTAGGTAGGTAGGTGAAGGAGGTTGTTTCTTTCAGATTTCTCCCATTTATGCTGATTGTTATCTGTCGTTGTTGTTGCTGTTGCTGTTGGCCAGGAATCTTCATCACCTCTGTTTTCTCTATGTTCATCTGAAGTCCTAACTTCTCAGGATGCTTCTCCTGCCAACTTGTTGTTTTTCACTTGCGTATCTTCCAGTTTGTAGTAAATCAGATATGCATCACCGGTGACGTCCGGATCCTCCAAGTATTTTGTGTGGGTCCATTTTATGTCAGTCTCATTGTTGCCCTCTGTTTGTCTGTCGCATTTTCTAGTCTACCGCAATCAGGAAAATCATTGGAGATAGTAGGCAGCCAGCCAACCAGCCTTGTCTTACTCCGGTCTTCACTTCGAAGGATTCTGTGAGTGTCTCTTTGTGAATTACTTGACATGCAGCATTGTCGTACAACTGTTGGATGAGATGTATAATTGTTGGTGGCACCCTTAGTAGCGAAGTAGTTGCCAAATCGCCTCTGCATCGACGTTGTCGAACGCCTTTTCAAAGTCAATGAAGTGTAGATAATGATAATGAAAATAATTATCATCATGATCGCTTTAGTAATATTCAGTAAAATGATCATAATGGCGATAAAGTTCTAGAGATATGAAATACTGAATGATATGGTAAATAGACATCAAAACTTTCACTAATATAAGAATTGAACTTGGGCACTGTGGCAAAGTATGATTCCATCACGGAGTAAATTTCTTTGACAAAATCACACAGTGATATATAGTATTATTTACTGGTGATGAAACTGGACTTCAGAAATGTCAAAGCCAGTTGCGTAATAGTAATGAAAGTAGAAAGCTAGTATGGGTATTTGTAAGCAGTGAAAAAGGCAGTAAGAATGTCATTCCGAAGTTATTACAGCCATACAAATGTTTCCTCTACTAAAACAATTAGATTGTTTGTTCAGATCCTTATGATCTGAGCAGTTTATGAAAAGTGAATTCTAACTTTATCAGCGAGATACAATTAGGTCTCGTCCATCGCCTTTTCTACACTGATTTGACTTCCGACTAGATGAAATCCAATGGAACTTTGCAAAAGTCTCATCACCCCTTCCTAGTTAAAAAAAGACATTTAACAACACTCTGACTAAACTAGTTTTCATTGTGTTATGTATAAATGTCTACGTAAAAAGAAAATTAATTTGGTAAGTATACACAAAGATAGCAGAACACAGAGTTGAGTTAGATGGTATAATGGGCGTTAACATGTGAAGAATATGATTATAATCCTTCTGTCGAACATATCAGGTCATATATGGTGAGGAATGAAAGTACTGAAAAAAAAGAAACGATATCGATTAAAAAACATAGGTCAGCAAGGAATATTTCTTCGCAACTTGTGACCAAATAGTGTTCCTAAAATGTTATGAAAAATGTATATAAAGGTCAGTTATAAATATGCAGCAGCTAAAGAACATTAAATTATACATCAGAGAACAGTATTATTGAGGGATTTACAACTGCATATGTAAGAGTAGAATCTGGCACAGTTGTAGCATATAACTCCACGATACAAAAATTTCATTTGTTATAACACTCAGCTATACAGTATCAGCTCAATTTATTATGAGCAATAAATGGAAAGAGCATATTATCAATTTCATATAGGAGCTCTGGACGCACAAGGCTTAAATCAATTCAGACAACACGCCTGGTTATATAAATGCATGACATCTCGGCCTATAAATGTATGTTCTTTTTAGTTAAAATGCCCAGGTATTGCTTACATAATACCATATGGCGAAATCCACCTAGTGGATTTCACAGGATTCCAAAATTACTTCTACTGAACTTGCTATTTTAGAAAAGTTGAGTATTTTACCTAACAGTTCACCTATTTATAATATTGACCTCATATCATCTAAAATCGTTGATATATCTCTGTTCTTATTTCGGAACGTCTAAACGCTGGCAAAGGCTAAGGATTTAAGAAAAAGAAATGTTCAGGAGAACATCTAGTATCAAAGCAACAAGCAAATTCCATCTAGATGACGGGGAATAGAAGGATATGTGCCAATATAGTAAAAAGAAATGAAAAAGAACGTTCCTAAAATAATGAAAACGAAACACGTAGATCAGCGAAGAGTCTCTTTCCGGCGAATTCATTTTCTTAGCTGTACAATCGCAAATATATATGTGTTATTTTGTATGTATGTGTACATTAAGTTTGTCAAACAAAAATACAATTGGTTATAGTTATTTAAACTAAACAGGTGAAGATTGGTAATTGGAGTTACGTAACACGAAATCAGTCAAGAAAATTAGGTGTTAGTGAAATTAGGGTAGTTACAAAGGTGATGAGTTGTCACAAACAGTTGTTAAAAGAAGTTATGTAATAATATGAATAGTTTGATGAGTGAGTTTTACTCAGGATGCATATAGGAACAAAGAAGTTAGTACGAAATTACGTAGGAGTTGTAAATGAATACAAGAATTATAAGCAATTAAAGAACAGGCAAAGAAACAAAATTTAGTCATCAAAATCGAAAAAAATCAAATCAAAAAAGTTGTTACCAGGACAGTAGAAGTGGTTGAGTAATCCTCTTTTGTATGCACAGCTCCGGTTTTTCTATGTGAATGGTCAGAGCTTCAGCGATACAAAGAAGGCGAAACAGTATTGCCTTTGGTAGGTTATTCTTGACTCTGTAGATTACTTTGAAGGAGGAGTTTGTTGAAATGGAATGATCAGTGTTAATCAGATGTTCAATTATCTCACTCCTAAAATAGTTGCACTGTGAATGAATATGACTTAGTTACTTAATAACTGTAAGTAGTACAAATTGTAATCAAAAAGGACGGCAGCGCTACTGAAATGAATTGCACTGAGAACATAATAAAGTAATTTCAAGTGAACTAAATCTACTACATGAAAATACTGAAGGCTGCGAAACAGACTTTCAACTGGGATCCTTTTAGGAGTGACATATGCATTTCAGATCGCAAATTCAACTACAGTTTTCCTCCCACAACTTTTCCTAAATGATCTGTGATTTTCTAAAATATAATAAAATAGTTTTAATTCGGATTCAAAGTACACATTCTATCTTAAGTAATTAACCGGCTAGACTATAATAGTATTCTACTATAATGTTAAAGTGATAGTTATAGTTATAGTGATATACAATAAGGCTCAGATCGATAGTAAATATGCGTAAATCACAAGTGCAATTAAAGCTATCTATTTCAAATCAAAATGAATTACATAATGCCCCATCAGTATATTTTTTACTGCATAATAAAATTATGTTCAATAGTACACTTTCCTAATTCAATCTCTCCCTGTTTCCGTATATATAATCGAATCAGTTAACCTCTACTGAATTTTCTCATTTTTTTTTTTGGAATTCTGACCACTAAGTTAAGTACTCATGAATATTCAGTTATCAGTAATTCTAACCACCTTGATATTCTTCATTCATTCCATTCAGTCATTATCTTATAATAATGCAAATGCTTATTATGTGATACGTTCACCAAAAACTGAGAAACGAACACATACAGAAGACGAAAGTCTGGTTCATTATAAAGAAAAGACGAAAATCGACACGACATCTAAAACTTCTATTAAAACAAACAATGGTACATCATCACCGTTATCAAAGCCTTATACTGTTTATTATAAAGCACCTAACAGCAAACCGAATGTTACAACAAGTTCAGAAAGCCTATATCAGGATAAAAATACAGTGAAATACGAGAAAGCTATTAAAAATCGTCGAGAGATTAGTGAAGTTATAAAGTATATACCAAAGAATAATAATGCCTATACACCGAACTCAAATAAACCCACTAATAATAACAACAAAAAGAACAATAATAATAATTATTATTATAAAAATGACAACAGCTATAGTAATGGTAATAATGGCAATTACGCAACCGACGATTATAATCGGATAATACAGAATAACAATAATCCCAGCTATGATGATTATAATTACGACTACAACGTTAACTATGAACCTTATTTTAATGAAAACAACGGATACAACAATGAAAATTACGATACTAACTACAACTACAATGGAGATTATAGCGAATATACACCTGGTAGCTACAATCGTAATAATTACTACGACTACGACAACTATGACAGTTATAATGACAATTACAATTATGAAAATAATAACGGAGAGTATAACCGCTACAGATACAATGGCAACAGTAATAATAACAATCCTTCTTATTACAACTTCAAGCCTTATAACCGTAATGACCATAAGGGCAACAGACACGGTCACCGTCCTAAGCGCAACAGATTTGGAAAGTTTAATAATAGGCCTAGATTTAACAGTTATCACTACTATCCTACTGATTACTATGACAGTGATGATGGTTACTACAAGAACAATAACGACAATTACTTTAATGAAAATAATAATAATAACAACGGCTATGGCGCTGAATACACTGAAGGTAACAATTATGAATATAGTGGGAAGAATAATTATGGCTATGAGGAGAATCACTATACCATAAATGGTCGTAATCATAACAACAATGCAAAACACCGATATCAAGATCAAAATAGTAAGTTCAATCGACCCAGTGGTCATCTTCGTAGTCGTAATTCGCACAGCGGTAATAATAATAATAATCACGCATACAAGGCTGACAGTTATCAGACTTACAGACCGGATAATAAACCAAGAAAAGATAATCGAAAGAAGAATGAAAATCAAAATTATATAGGAAGCAAACCTAAAGAAAATTATTCTAACGATAATAACAATAGTGATAATTATAATGGATACACAAAAGATGAAGAAGGCAAAAAACAAAAATATGGGGATGAAAAAGAGACAGGTGAAGATGAAATACCTGGTCTGGGAAATCAGAACAACTTTATGTCACCAGGAGGCGATAGTTATTTCGGAGGTATGATGGGAATGATTAATCTGGGTAGTGCAGGCTTGGGATTTTAAGATTACAAAGATAATAATCAACGTAAATAATACAGATTGTTATGACATTATTAATATCTTTTAATTGATTAAAACTTGTACTATAACTGACTTCTAATAATGTTCTTCTTCTTGTCAGTTATTTATAATCTAGAATTTTTATCATTCATGTTGCTTGCGTTTGCTGTTAGTACTGAATACACTCTTTTGAAAAAGGAAACTAGCTTTACTTCAAACAAAGATTAAGTGTTTAACTGAATTTTAGATTTTCCCGTCGACTGACTGGACTGGGGAATGTAGGTACATCCAGATGACAAGTCCCAAACAAGACGAAATGCGCATCCTGGATTCCACTGCTAGTCACTATCCAACAATTACAGATAAAGTGTGTTAGGCCTTCGAATTTTTTCATTTGTGTGGATTCTTCCTTTTTCTATGACATAAGGTACCGGCTGTCTTAAAAACGCTTAAAAAGATAGTGTATTTAGAAAGTACTATAAACAGATGTTTGACCGAAAATCTTATTTTAAAGTAAATCTGTGTAATATTGTATTAGTCTTGTTGATTAAAAAAACATGATAAGAGTTAATTCCTACTTGCAGAACAGTTCGCCTATCTCTCTTGATATATACACAATTATTTTGGACCTTATCTTACGGTTATCCTCCCTCAAAAAGTATAAATGGCCAACAGTGTTGTTAAAAATTATGTACAGGTTTATCTACAGCTATCCAGACCATAGGATTTACAGATTTGCAACACTTTTACCTAGTTGCCTTTTGTAATGCTTTCGAGTAGGTCAGTCAACAAAAACATACAATAAACTGAGTCAAAGCAAATTTTTCGCATCCATCTATTTAGTGGTAGATGTTTAGTTATCCTTCAAGTTTCTTCGTGAAATAATGACAAAGAAAGTTGCTTGTTCTTGTAAGAAAATACAATATATCTAATATCTAATATATAAAATATAATATGTCTAAGCTTTGTGAACTCCAAGTGTTAGTCATTTTATCTGAAAATGGTCTTTATTACTGAAAAGTATCCCATCCATTGAAACTCCTGTCCTTCATTCCATACAGCCCATTCTGTTTAATTTATCCCACCAGGGGATAAGTCGCACCTTAGATATTCGAAGGCTAACATGTACAACCACACCACTCATTAATGTGATTTTGAATCACTAGTGTCCTGCTGATGAATAATGATAATAAGTATGAAACGTAGAACCACAACTTCCTGTCGACTGATTTCCAAGGTTTACCAATGAAATCAGATTTCACCACCATGCAAAAAATGTTTTTATGAATTGATTTATTGAACACAATGCATTCTTGACCTATAGATTTCAACTTACGACAACTTATTTCTATCATATGCAAGTGAAAAATGTATCACTGTAGTGTTCGTTAAGAACTGATCAATTTCACTGGTGCGTGTACCGAAAACCAATGGCGGTTAGAAAATTTATTAAAACTGAAGGAGCGTTGAGTAGTTGTTAACTCGAATTTATTACTTTTCATCAGTTTACACTCACAATCATCTTGGAGAAAGAACATAGGACAAATGTTTCTGTAGGCAAGCACTATATCACAGAGTTACTCGAAAGGGAACCTACATTTCCCAATTAACTCAAAATATAGACTCAACAAAAATAATTTATGAGCTTTTTTATTATACCACAAAGTGATTCTTAATTATTTAAAATATTTCTGTCTGTATGACTTTTGCTTAAGCATCCAAATTTCAAGTAGTAGGTACTGCGATGGAAAATTCTTGACTATCCGACGTTTATTACTAATTATATCTAACTAACCACAATAAAGGTGGGTGATTTAAACTAATTCGGGTGTCTGAGCTGTGTTAGTTTAGGTACCCTATAAACGAAATCGGTCGTAAATGCCTGAAAAAGATATCCAGTATTGAAAACACTTCGATCTCGTTAGCCAGCACTACTGCTTCATGTGAGTACTTTTAAACTATTGAAATTAGTTATTAGCACATGCGGAATTTGTTGACATTTAAGCGCTTTTTGTTTGAGGTAGATGAAATGATAAAAGTCAAAGTGTTTTGTAAATCATTATTTTCGATCCGATGATGTAACACTTTAGAAAAGAAACCAAAAACCGAATTTAAGACCTATTACTCAGTGTAAATATACCAAAATCATTATTTCACTAAAGGTAAACTTAAGTATAAGTCTTTCCACACTATTTGTGTATATTGACTACGAGTAAATCTGTCAGTAGTATATGCTTTGAAGACCTTAAGGAATACGGGAGGGTTCGACATTTGGCTTAAAAACGTTCTAAAGAAAATGTACATAACAAGATAGGGAAGTGAAGTGAAACCTCCTTTACCCGAAAGTATGAGATTAGTGTTTGCTTAGGAGAAGTCTCATGATTTCCCACAAACTGGAAGATATGCAAGTGAGAAGCAACAAGTTGGCAGGAGAAGCATCCAGAGAAGATAGGACTTCAGATGAACATAGAGAAAACATAGGTGATGAAGATTCCTGGCCAATACCACCAACAGCAACAACAACAACAGACAACGATCAGCATAAATGGGAGGAACCTGAAAGAAACAACCTCTTTTACCTATCGACCTGGGAAGCATCGTTTCAAATACAGGCGGACGGAACTGACGAGGATATCAAAGCAAGAATCGGAAAAGCAAGACAAGCTTTCACTACTCGCAAGTCTGTGTGGAGGTCAACAGCACTCAGCATCAAAAATAAGATCCGGATTTTCAACTCCAATGTGAATCCAATCAGTGCTACTATACGGATACGAGACTTGCACTGCGCGTCATAAAGAGCATCTCAAACAAACTACAGACCTTCATTAACAGCTGTCTTCACTCAATACTTCGCTCAAGATTAGATGGCCGGCCATAAAAGATAAGCAACAGAGATCTCTGGGAGCGAACCAATACAATAGGAACCGATTGTGAAACAAATATGCAGGAAGAAATGGAGATTGATTGGCCATACTCTGAGGAAGCCATCAAGTGACATAGCACGCCAGGCCGTCACTCGGGTGGAAACCGAAAGGGAAGCGGCAAGTTGGTCGTCAGTGCAAGGGTGACTTGGAGGAGGTCATGTGAAGAGGAGATGAAAACGTGTGGGCAGACTTGGAGCCAAGTGAAGACTCTAGCAGAGAACCGAACGCAATGGAGACACACGGCTGAAGCCCTATGTTCCTCTAGGAATTAAAGGAAACAATAATAATAATATATCCAAGTGTCCTACTAGTAATTTCCCCTTGACAATCATTAAACACTGAATACAGTGTTGAAAGTATTTTCTAATTTGCTGAATATACTTCCCGGCTTGGTCAATAAAATATGGCTTGCACATTGATCTGGACAGACGTCGTAGTGGTTACTTCCAAGAACCAAGTAGGAAGATAATAATACTTCATGAGGAATGGCTTTATTAAATAACCCGCCAATTGTGGAGTCGTAGCCTGTTGCTATGGCGGTTTAATCAAAAGTTTTTTTGTATGCTATTTCAATGAAATCTGGCATGAAAGCTATTTTATGACGTACACACTAACCCTGACATTATATTCTTGAACTGCGTTACATTTGCTGCACTTTTATCAGAAAATGTTGCTTGATCATGATATCTGTGCAATGTTATGCATTAAATGAAGGCAGTAAGTTCAAAAGTCAAACATTTATTATTGAATTTTCATGAAATCCTGCTGGTATTTTCCGGACTAATTATTAGAACACCCTAATACGCACATTTATCCTGTCAGTATGCCACATAGTTGCCCCTGTATAAGCATACAATAATATATCACTGATTAATGTTTAGGAAATTCGGAGTTAACTGCACAGTCAAAAAATATTATTCACATTGGAAATCTATCAAAAATGAAAGGAGATTAAGTAATCATGCTGAATGATTTATACATTTGAAAAAGTTGAGTGTAACTCGGTGATGAAGATTTAAGAAAAACACCTAGAAATGGTGATGGAGAAGGATTATGTCTTACAGTGCCAACGGAATCACAGAATTAATTTTCAATGAAAGAAATGTCAAATGTTCCAGTGGCTACATCCATCACAAATACAATAACGCAATAAATTTCGCACGCGTACTAACGAAAAATCCAAAACTGGGACGAAACATCAGTCCAGTACTCTCATGGTTTTCAACGGTTCTCTAACCGTTATCAGTTTGTGATGAAATCTAACTTGAAAAAATCTCTTTAGCATGAAGATTTCAGGCAGTTAAGCATTAATCGCCATAACCATTTACATTCGAAGAAGTTTTATGAGCATATTTTCCAGAGGATTCCCTTGTAGTTCCCATGAATCCCTTCAGATGACATTAAGACTGGTTTGTAAGCCTTACCTGGTGATCAAAGCCAGTGAGAGGTACTAAGACAGATTAAAGAGATTTTACCTTTCTCTCTTTTGTAAAACCGATAGGATTTTACATTTAGAAGGTAAACACTGAGTGAACCTTTTAATTTAATTACGGCATACTAAATTTATTGTTTCAAGTAGGTTACAAAATATTTATCAAGTAACAGTTAAACAAATTAATGCTAATGAAAAATATTGATGTTATGCCCTACCAGCTATAAAAAGTTTATCTCTAAACGAACTAACAGTAAACTCTGAGATTTTATGAACATTTCTATCATCATAGTTGCATGATTTTATGCTTGTTTAATTAAAAAAGAACAACAATTTAGTCGCTGAGATGTAAAGTTACATTTCTGGGTTTATTATTACTGTTTCCTTTAGTTCCTAGAGGAACATAGGGTTTAAGCCGCTTGGGTTCCACTCGAGCAATGGTCTGGCGTGTGATGTCACTTGATGGTTTGCTTTCTCAGAGTATGGCCACCAAGTCACCTCCATTTCTTCCTGCATATCTGTTCCACAATCGGCTCCTGGTTAGTTCACCCCCAGAGATCCCTCCCTGTTGCTGAGCTTTTCTGTCAAGCCAACTGATCTTGAGCATTGAGCGTAGACGTTTTGTAGTTTACTCGCATAGCAAGTAG